TTGGAAACCCAAAATTCAAAACTATGTTCCGTGTGTGTTGCAAGGGGGAATTAAGTGTTTCTTCGTAGGCTTCATAAACAACCGGTCTCAATTAATCACATCAGTTATAAAGAAGAAAGTAACGTCGGATATATTTATTAGTTGGTTGTTTCTTAGACAAAACGAAAAGCCAACTATATTAATTCTTTAATTGTGTCAATTAGTATCCAATATTTTATCAAATTATAGTTACATGTATGCCCTCCAAAATCCCTAAGATATAGGGTTAAAACTGTCCAATAAAAATTCCAAAAGTCAAGACTCCGCCATTCGCACTTTTATAGATACTAGTAAAAGGGCACGTGCGTTGCACGTGAGAGGTTATAATGATAATGATTAAATGGAAGTAGATATGGAGGTTCAACCGTTCAACCATTAGAGTAAGAGAGAGAAATTTAATAATGTTTTGTGACAAATAATGACATTTTGAAATTAACAAAAATTATAGTTAACTAATATATACATGATTGAATAAATGAACATTTTTTTTTGCAAAATAAAATAATGGGTTGGTGATGAATGGACCCAGATATTATATTAGTTTTTGGATTGAATAGGCATGGGACCTAGAAAGGTGATAATTGGAACCGGGTAATAAACGTTTTGAAAAAATTGGGAGGGAATAGTGTGCTGCAAATGGAAATGATATCTAATTGTCCGAATTTCAATTCAACAATTTTTTTTTCCAGTTAAGTAGGATTAAATGTTTATTTAACTTCTCTACAGCCTCCCATATGTGCACAACAACGCCAGGATCTACCCCCGCATCTGTCTGAATATGGGAAGTAGTAGGTACCCCAGTTGCTCTCCTTTCTCTTATTGTTTCACACTCCTTTAGAGCAGGCACAACCATTTTGAAGTCAGTGGGTCTGATACTTTTTCCTATGCTTCCACAAATTTCACAAACAGTAGACCCATGATTAATGAACCACTTCAGCACACAAGCATAATGTGCAAGAACAAGATCATTTTATTCAAGAACATCCAAGCTCAATAAGGGTGTGTTGATGGTAATATGAACCTGCTTCTAGATCAGTATGACAAATGAATAGCTACCCATCTGAGCTAACAAACTCAATAAACCCAGACTTCCAAAATTATTTTTTATTTCACTTTCAGTACATTTTAGGTCTCTTTTGGTATTAGAATTTAAATCCTCATTGATTTGTGAGACTTCCTACAACGGAGGGTGTGATATTCAAGAATCCCAATTCAGCATCTCACATTCTGTCAGGTTCAACACATTGGCACAGCCGACAAGTTGCCATGGTTGCATCTTTATCTATACTTTGACGCAATGTGGAATGTGTACCTAAATTTTCCTTCTCTCATTTGAGGATAAGCTGTCATTATTGACTCCACCATTGGTCATCTATATATGATCTTAATTAGAGTCCATTACATCAGATAAGGCTCTCTAGGATTCAAACAATACACTCTGCAGTTTGCACTACCTTAACCATTGTATCATTTTTCTTCTGCAATCTCACCCAATCAAATTAATGTAAGGCTAAGTAACCCATTTTGAACTTCTAAAAAACAAATGCCAAGTACCAGTTTTCCAATAAAGAACTCACGGGCAACAAAAAGACTTGAACCAAAAATGTAAGTGAATCTAAGCTTTTAAGAAATCCATGATTATTGAACAACTTTAAAATAAGTGTTGAATTAGATGAGCAGAGAGAGCATAGAATGTTGAAACTTCCATTTATTCTTTCTTCTCAAAAATTGCAGACACCAACATCTTCTAGAACTACACCAAGATGATACTGATGAGCAAGATGGAATAGTTTTGAATAAGGGAGTTTGAGAACCTGCTGCAGTTGTTGAGCTCCTTGGGAGTCAATATGTCAGGGTGGAGCAGGATGATACTCATGAGAGTTTCTTGGTTAGCCTAATAATCTTAACAAAGCTCTGGCTTTCCTAGGTGACTTCTAAAGACAATTTTCTGCATTGGTCAATTGCCATTGGGAAATAATTGACCAGAGATAACCTACCAAGGGAAGATATGCAGATCCAGGATCAATCATGTGGTTTATGTGGGATGGTAGCTAAATGTCTAGACCACCTCTGAATTCATCGTCCTTTTTTTGAATATAAAGCAAAAAAAATATTATTAAAACAAAAAGAAGTGCAAAGAAAGGAGATGAGCAATCACCCGAGGGAAATTAAACACACAATGAAAAACCAACTAAAATAAAGCAAAACCCTGCCAAGCAAAACACCCCACAGAGGCCGACCCCCTTACAAAAGGAAACAAAAGCAATTCAAAACAAACAATGTGATCCTGATCATCAAACAAAAAAAACATCTCCCTTTCCAGCTCCAAGCACCCACAAGCGCCACCCAACAAGGACCAAATCAAAATTCCAGCCCCCTAATGGACTTTTATTTGTTCAGCCATATTATTCAATTTTTGAATGCAATCTTCTTGTTGCCTTCTGACTCCATTATTGTGTTTTCTTACTCTTATCTTGCAAAAACCCAATGCCAAATGGGCCTCCTCTTATCTGTTGTTGACTCTCTCTCTGCTTTTCTGAGATCTGCATCTTCTAATTGAGTTTAAATTTCCAACTGTTTTTTCCAATTCTCCAACAGATTTCTGACATCTATCTGACCCATCTTCCCCTCTCAATTCTTCTTCATTAAGTTTGATCAGCAGACCAAATCACAAAAATAACTATCATCATCAATTGTCTGTTACTTAAATAAATCCAGCAGAAGCCACAAAATTTATATGCAATAAAGAGTTGAAATTTTAATTCCATAGTTTTGCTTCATAGTTTAATGATACAGTATTGGGATCCCTCTCCATAGATAGTAATACATTGCTTTGTACTTTGTACACCAAGATCAGGTTCAAATAAAAAGATAAGGAAAACTTAAGAAAAAAACAAATTAAAAATTATTGTTTCCCTTGAATTCAATTACCTCTATAAAGAATTCAACAAAAATGAATTTACAGTTGGGATTAGAGGAGTATATAATAAGACATTCTAGGTGGTTGGCCAAGTTTAAGAATCTTTGCAACAAGTCAGCACACAGTCCTCCAGGAAGTTGGTAAGCTGAGAAGTATATAGATTTGGGTCATTTCTGAAGTGGTCAACATGGGGTGTGGAGATAAAGTTGCATACCTGGACCTCATGCCCTGCCTTTCGCTTCTCCTCTATAAAAGACTCCATAGATTCTATTGGAATGACCCTATCTGTAGAGATATAGATGTATAACTGTGGACAAGGTGGTTGTTGTGATGATAGAAGACCCATCACATCAGAGAGCCTCTTGTAATTCAACAAAATGAGAGACAATCAGATGCAAACGAAGATAATGTTGTAGATCAAGCAACAAGAGCATGATTTATTTATGGATTTTGTAAGCTTTTTTTTTAGATGTTGGAGAAGAGAATTATTTGTTAAGAGCTATGATTTATTCACTTGAAAGATGTAGATAACAACTATTTTCTAGGGTTTTATAAACCCAGGTAAACACCCTTCTAGTCACAAGAGCAGTTTAATTGATAGTTCAAGCAAAGGGAATTGTCTGTAATTCTTTATTGGTAATAATAGGTTCCAGTAAAAGCACAACTATGCAACATGACTATTCTTAGACAGGAACAGGAATGTATGGTTCGGTATGCTTCACATAGTCAACTACTGATATCATAAAAGTGGTTAACCAATCAGGTGGTATTCATCAAATTCACCTGGGGGAGGGAGTTGATTGGTCAAAGCTATTTCAGTATCATCACAGATTTACCAAAATAAAACTACATCATGGTGAAATCGGTTTCAGTGCTCACACTGTTCGCATAGTCTTGTGAGCACTGAAGCTGATATTCCTCGTGGTTATATTTGAACATGCTTTTACATGCAAATCATGGAGAGGGACTTTCCAAAGAAAATACAGTAAACATTTGTATGTTACAAGTTGGACATATAAAGTGGAAGTGAATCAGTTGAGATATGATTAAACGTAAAAACCAGTGGTAATTAGGAAACAACACTTAACCTGTTAATTGTTGGAAGATTAAGAACCACTTTAAAGAACTTCTCCAAAACGGTCAGCAAAGTTGTTTCAGTTGCAGCAAGTTTGGTTTGAAAAGAAGTTTTTGTGTCAACTAAGGTCTCTGTACCAGCTTCTTATGATCTAATTAATCCTCTTGTTGCAATGCTCTACTTTTTCAAAAATGCAGTAGAGAAACCTAAAGCCTAGACATAGAAAATGAAATTAGAAAAGATGACATGTTTTTAGTATATTTTACTGACCATAAAAGAAAGAATGACAACATATCCAATAATACTTGTAAGTCAAAACTATTCCAGAAGACACATGGATTATGGAGTGTTGTGCACATTGCATAAAATTGTATTCTACTCAAGAAAATTTACCCAGACAAATTTCCATAGCATCACACTCCCATAGAAATTCAAAAAAGGAATAACCAGAAAATGTATAAAAGGCTATACAAACTGGGTGGGGTATCACCCTGGAATCTCCTAAACTATCTGGTAAATTAATTCTGAATGTGTAATATCTTGTTCTTACTATATGCTAAGTCAATTGCTCCTAATAGAAGAACTTATCTATTGTTAAATTTTAAGTTTTTAATGGAAGATGACACATATACAGAAGAACTTATCATATTACTCCCTGGTAGCACAACATGGTATTTTATCAAATTTGAAGAAAGGAAATGAATGATCTCTCCAAAAAGTCATGATACCCCCTCCCCTGTGTAAATAATGCATCAAATGATATATACTTTTTAGTCTGTAAACATACTATAGTAAATTAAGTGCATAACAAATAACAATGCATGCAAATACTTACTGTGCAGCCTCTTCATTCATATGTTTTTGTGACTTCATGTATATTTTAACAGGTATTGATTCTACAACTTCCTTTGGTGCAGAAACATAGCCAATTGAAGAAACAGAAGGCCGAGAAGATAAAACCACAACTTATTGGTGAATTTCATCCAGGACCTAATTAAAATAGTTATAGAAGCCTGAACTTACATCCATTAACCAAAAATGAGAGAAGAAATATCTTGAAAACAAAAAACAACAGTACTACCTCAAACAATGCTTTTGCTAACATAACAATCCTTGATACGCTGGCTCTATCACTGTTGCCATCATCCGGATTGGTGGAACGACCATTTGTTCGGCAAGAATGACGCCCTGTTTGATGCTGACCCGCCAAAATACATGACCTCTCATGTCCAGATAAATTTTCAAAGTGGCTACCAAGCCGCTGAAGTGCACAGACCTGTACTTCAGGTAAAGGAGAAGTCATTCTCTTAGGTATGCTAGACCAACAAGAAAAAATGCATAAGAGGAAATTAAAAAGGATTTCATGTAAAATCATAAGAACAGTGCAACAATAGTGTTTTAATGCAGGCCATGCTTAGAGCATAAAATGGACCAGTTGACAGGTTTTAGGGGGATCTCCTTGGCCAAAAAACTCATCTAACTAGATGAATTTCATTGCAAATCTATAAATTCAGTTCTTTTTTGCCTATTGAAAGGGATTAACATCCAGGATAACCCATAAGAATCAAGATTTTGCTTAAGAATGCCCTAGCCAGGCCACAGGCCAGTCAAATGGTTGGAACCAAATGCACTAACAATGCCTTAATAAGAATTGTTGCCATATGTCTGCTAGGTGCTAAAAAGTTTACAAACCTGTGATCTTATTCTTCTTCTCCTCTCAAGAAAATTAGTTCTACGCTCTAAAATGTCATGATATTTGGTGTCTCTTGTTCTTGAGGGCTCTACCTCGTCATTTTGAATGCTTTCAATGGAGCTTGGCATACTAGATAAAGTTGTTGGTGTTTCAACATTCCTGTCAGAGGCTGATGTCCCTGTTACACAATCCCAAGCATGTCTCCCACTCCCCTGGCTAGAATCTCTAACCTCACTATCTTCATGTAGACGGCCAAACAATCCATCAGAGATTGAGGACCTGTGAACAACCCTGTCGCGGAGCCTGTCAACACTCATTGTTCGGCTAAATCGAACACTTCTTTCAACTGGTTCTTGACCTCCAATTCATCTATCTGGATGCCTTGTTTCAATGCTCTATGGGAGAGTTCATCCTCAAATGGGCCAGTTCGTGGAAGATAACGTCTCCGTGTAGGTATGAAGGATTGAGGGTTTGAGGGAGAAACCGAACAGGGAGAAATCCAAGAGAGGTTAGGAGAAAAGGAAATAGTGGAAGTTAGAGTGTTGTTCCTCGGTTCCATTTGCTACCAAAATAACAGGAAATAGTGGAAGTTAGAGTGTTCTTCCTCGGTTTCGAGAGAGAACCCGAAGAGGGAGAATGTCTCAACGAAACAGACGCATATAGAGTAAAAAATTACCATTTTGCCCCTCAGTATCTAACCATACTGTTAGACAAAAAAGGGTAGTACATGTCCACCAAAATGTCCAGAATGGAGAGCTATTCGCTCTTTTATCATTAGTATAGATTATAGACTATAGATTTTCACAATCTGTTAATAGATCATGATGGGTTTGGCATTAACAATCTAATATTTGTTTTCTTAAGTTCATCTGAAATGTTATAAAGCACCTAAATTTCAGCTTTGCAAAGTTCTAAAGATTGAATCCATACGTCAAGCACCTAAATCTTGCATCCATCAGAAATATTAGAAAATAAAAACATCATATTTGTTTTGTGTTTTTTCTTGTTTCACCATTTAAGGTCAAAAATGAGTTTTCGAAAAATTTTAACATTACATTTAATCAAATCTTAACAGATTTCTAACAGAGGGGATGTCTTTGTTTGATGACATCACCTAACAAGGGAGGTTTTAGTCCATTTTATAGATAGAGGGGAGGTTTTAATATTTATGTAAAAAATTGAAGGGAAGTTTAAGTCTTTACCCTTTACTTTTAGATGGTCAAGAAAAAAGTTAGATAGAAAATCTTGCGAATGCATATGAAGGACAGTTGGGTGGGAATAGCCTTGGTGTAACACTCGTTAGTTGACTTAGAATTAATTCTTTGTCTATCTGTTACATTTACTGTAGGTGCTGCAATCATCCCATAAAAATTTTGATCAAGGTCATACTGCCATACAAGAAAGTTGTTACATATTAATCAATTTATTGATCAACTCTATGCTTTGATCTTTTTTTTTTGGGGGGGGGGGACAAGATTAGACTTGTGAAAATGTGTTTTTGAATATTTTTATGCATATTTTCAACTTTGTATTTGGAATGTCTATTTCATAGGGTTTTTGTAATTTTCTAAAACACAGCAATGGAAGTTGATATGGCCAAAATTGACCAACACTTAGAAGTTGCCATGTGGTAGAAGCTTGGAAGCAAAGTTGTTAATTGACCTCACATTATCTTAAAAAGTTTAACCGACCTAAGAGTAGCTAACATTATCAAGTTAACTGACCTGGTCGAGTTGATATGACCAAATTCACCTTAGAAGGCCAAGCCCACCTAACCAAGTTAACCTGACACTAGCTCAAGACATGTATATCTGATCAACCTATCTAGGAATAAGCAACACATGGACATTGCCTACCACATGCACACATGTCAACTAGGGCATGACAAGTGGACCAAGCTCTAACCACATGTGAATGATGTGCCCATTCTTAGATGAAATTCTTCTCCTATAAATAGGTGAGCCCCTCATTTGTTTAAGGACACTACACTAGATACTACACACAAGACACACTAGACACATCAGCACATCTGACTTCATCTCACCTCACTTCATATCATGCTCCATTGAGTTCTTCAGCTCATCTTATCTAATTTGGGTGTTACTGACTTGACCATCGAAGTCTACAATCCCAGGATCCATGGGCTTTTGACTTTCTCTTCTAGTTATAGGTCTCCATAGTAGCCAAAGTACCGAACTGAGGTGATACCCTCTCAGTCGTGATTAACAATTTTGCAATTCTATCCTTGTTGCAAATTTTGGTAGCAACAATGGCGTCGTCCATGGGAACTAAGCAAACGCCCATTTTACCCAATCAACCAACCTACTGACTTAAACCAACCTCCAAACAACTGACCTAGAATGCCTGATTTATTGTCTATGACTGACTTGGAACTCCTTCGCTAAGCTGAAGTGTTGATGTAGTGAAACCGACTTTGGGTAGTGGCCAACTTATACTAATTTAGCCAAACATGAGGAAAAGCTAACCTACTATCCTAAAGACACAAATAACCAATTTGGTACTTTCTTTTGACAAGTCAGTTTGAATGCTACTTCACCTTCGAAAGTGGGGGGCATTTGGTATGACCAAAATTGATCACCAGTCAAATTTTTCCAAGTGGCAGTAGGCTGAGGACGAAATGGCTAATTGACCTCACATCACCTTAGAAAGTCGAAATGACCTAAGAGTAGCTAACTTGATTTAGTCAGCTACCTAGATGAGCCAACCATACCAAATTCACCTTAGAAGACCAATCCGACCGAGTAGACCCAACCAAGCTACCTTGACACCAGTTCATGACATGTACATCTAGTCAACTGAGGAAGCAACATGTGAACATCCACATAGATGCTACACGTGATTGATTTGACCAAAACATCAACATTAGCACATTCAACACAAGCCCATTGCCCACCACGTGCATACAATGTATCAACAAAGGGCATAACCAAGTGGACCGAGCTCCAACTACATGTGACTGATATGCTCATTCTTGGATGAAGCTCCTCTATAGGTGAGTCCCTCATTTGTTTAAGGACATTACACTAGATACTACAAACCAGACATCTCATTTCATTTCATCTCACCTCACCTCATATTATGTCTCATCGAGCTCTTTAACTAATCTTATCTATTTTTGGTGTTACTGACTTGACCATTGGAGTCCACACCCTTGAGATGTCACATTGGGGCCTCTGGCGTTCTCTTTTGATCGTAGGTGCTTCGTAGAAACTAAGGTGACACCTTATCGGTTGAGATCAACAAATTTCTAATTCTATCCTAGTTGCAAATTTTAGCAGCAGTAAAAGTCATCCTATATAAACATTAATTGAAGATGCCTCAAGATAATTGAGGAATGAAGAAGTGCAATTGGAGAATGTTAGAATTTTAATTTTAGCTAAGCATCAGGTTTTCGTTGGGATCTTTTCTTTTTTGTGTTTCTCATATCTCTGGAGAATTAAAGTGCAATCCCGTATTTTAGTACTCCCATTTTTTTCTAGTCCATGATACCAAAAAAAGGCATGGACATATTCATTTACCCTTTTATTTTACTTTTAATGTATTTAAAATCATAGATCAATGCCCATGCCCAAACCAAAACCCTTATCATAGATGTTAACTGTTAAGTCAACCCTTGATCACCCTTATTCCATTGTGTTTATAATGGGTTAAATTAGAGCTGCAAATGGATTGAATATAATCCATTGTGAACGTCGAGAAAATACCTTTGTCAGCTGTTCACTTCATGGCCAATGCTATGGAGTCGCCACCCATCGGAATACATAACTGGGAGTGATGGGCCTCCCGAATTTAAATTTCACAATATTTTCAGAAATAATGACTCCATATCAATCGACCAGGATAATACTAATCTAGGTAAGTTGAGAAAGAGAGAGGGAAGGGGTTAGGCACCCCTCTCTCTGGTCAGTGTGAATGCCAAATCCCTCTTCGTTCTACATTCAAATTTGAGCTGAGAATCTATACCCTCAGGCAACCGAGAAAGATATGAATAACACTCTTCTTCACTTTCAAACGAACCCCTTTTGAACACAAAGGCCTGAGCAAAAGGATAGGAAGTCCCACCCCTTTTCTATCAGAACCCTCACATTTGGATTCGGCTAGCTGGCTGGACGTGTTGAGGGAGCATGTCAATCCCTTCAAATACCCGAAAAGCACAAATATTCTTGCACTCACAACTATAAGATATGAAAGATGCAATCGGAAGATAAAGAACAAGAAAGAAAGCTTAAAAAAAAAAGAAGCTGAACCAAAGCAAATAAATGTCTGAGTGTGAGGTAAGGTCGATACCTCGATGTAGCCTTAGAATGTTGAATTCTGTTGGGTTGATGAGAGATTTATGGGGAATTAATTGCCTAAAATTAACTACATCGTACTGCACATTCTTGGTTCATTCGATGCTACAAGGAAGTTATTATGAATCTAGGAATGCGAGAAAGGGAGGTTCAGTTTGTGACAGTGGCGAGAGAGAGAAGTGGTGGAGGGGATTGTTGCCGCCACCGTTTGGGTGTCGCAAAGTTAGGGGAAGTGAACATCAAATTTTCAATGGGAGAATGGAGGAGAGAAAAAGAATGTGAGGGAGGTAGTGAAGAACGCTCCCACTGCTAGGAGCTGCAATGGTGGTTCGGATGGAATGATAGTGGAGAGAAAAGGAGGCGGCAACCGGTGGAATAGAGAAGAAAAAGAAGAAGAAGAAGAAGGGAGAGAGATGTGGGGAGGGAGAGGAGTGAGAGGAAGGGGGTGGTGAACAGTCGATCCTTTAGGATAGTATTTATAATAGGGCTAGTGGCAGTTTGGTAATTTTGGGGTTCCGAAGGAGGTATTTTTATAAATTTTAGAAAATGGTTCAAACCAGGTCTAAAAGGGTCAAACCATGTCTAAGAGGGTCCAATCGGGTCTTCTAGTTGAATGGTGGGGATTTTGGGGCAAAAAATGGAGGGTTGAGATGGGTTTGACCATGGAGTGGGGTTATGCATGTGCGGGCCAATGAGATCAGCCGAAAATGAAATCTTTGTAGATGGAAGGGTAAATGAGGGTATTCTTGGCTGAAATTTCACAAGGTGGGGTTTTTGGACATTCTGAGATGATTGGTGGGGTCAGATTGGGCCAAATGGTCCTAGATCAAGAAGATCTGGAAAGGGCTTGATTTGGTTAATCTAGGATCTCGAAACGGAATCTTTGTGTGATAGAAGGGAAAACAAGGTTTGTTTTGGATGAAAATTCGCAGGGCAGGGTTTTTGGTCAGTTTGAGGTGATTGGTGAGATTAGATTGAGCCAACTAGGCCCGGATTGGGCGGAC